ATCATCAACATCTGTTAAACTAAATATTAAAACGTACCACGGCCGACGAAGAAGCAGTAGTTTATGCTACTGGTTGAAGTGTACACGAGCAAAATGCCAGAATCAACACTTGACCCTTGACTATACACCCAAAATGACGATTCCAGCAGCGTCTATGCCCAAGAAAACCATCTCGTTTAACACTAAAACCAGTGACGAGCAGGGCCTGATGTATATTTCTCAGCTCTTGAATTCGCCGGCTTCTGAATACAGACTGAAATCATTTAGGGGGAGAAAATTCCCCTTTTGCGTATCACTGGCGAAGGCCTTGGTCGTTTTTTTTGTTTATACCTGCTACCTGTCCGTGTTGTAAATGTTATTTTAAGCAGTTAAATATTTTAACACAGAAAACTAAGCCGCTTGTAATGCAATGACGCACGGGGTGATAGGTCCATCGTCAACACCAGCTCTGAACGAAAGTTTGCCCGTTCCGAGTTTAACGCTACTCATTCTTCTTCTCATACCCTGCGTTGTTCTTCTCCTGCTAGTGAACTGTTTCATATTAGGCTATAAGCTAATTACACTCAGGCGGAAAAGAAGGAAAAAACGGCGGCTGAGAAGCTCAGACAGTTCGTTTACCATTTCGACACAGTCGACCGGGCAAAGCAGGATAACTAAGCTGTCGGAGGTGCCGTCGTTTGCGAACCAAGGCGGGAGAAGGGAACCATGTTCAGTTTCAACGCCGAGTTTAGCTCAGTCGGTCCCTTCTTCGCCGATGTTGTCCAAGCAGAAGGCGGTGACGGGACAGAGAATTAGTTTTTACCGGCCAGACGGGACTGCAGGAGAAGGGTCGGGGTCACTGAGGCCACCCAGCACCATCCTAGCCGCAATGTCCTCGTCTGCGTCCACCACAAGAGCCGATCTTCCGCACAGACCGCGGGTTTTCACGCACAGCTACTCGGACTGGCGAAGGGGCGTCCGGGTCGTGCCGCTGTCCAGTGATTCAGAGGCGGATCGAGCGAACACTGTTCCGCCAAATTCACCGGCGACCGTCGCGCTACCAGCGAGGGTGAGTGCTGGAAATAGTCCAAATCGATCAAAGTCACCTTCGACTTATGGGACGAGCCTTACCAACTGTGTTTAACACACATTTCTGTTTGAGTAGTTTCTAAAAGTCGGGTGCCGACCGTTTTTCCTGGACTACATCCATCTTTCCCATTTGATCGGAAATCACGTTTTTCAGTTGGACTCTCTTCACAAAGCTGTCCGAATTGCGTCAGACAACAGTGTAAAAAGGTCTATGTATATAGTGAAAATTTAACTCATCTAGCACTTGACTGTTTTTTGGTATGAAAATCGAACTGCTCTGATGAAAACAGGGGGCCTTTTTTTGTCGATCGTTCTACCTTCTTCAGTAACTACGAGTGCAGTTTTAATCGGGTAGTTTGTAGGATGCGGCCCTGTGAAATGTAAACGGAAGGACATGCAGATATAAACTATCCATTTTATGATGATTTAAGGTCCAACCACTTTAACGACAGCAATGAGTTAAAAACAGCAAACTGTTTTTATTTATGTGATACTGGAGTAATTCTGAAAAGTAATTGTGAGAGAATTTTGTGAAGGACTCTTAAGAAAACTAAAAAAGATTTTATGTTACAAGTCATTATATAAGGGCATAATTCCTGTAGAGTAAGTATCTTTGCTAATTTGTGTTGTGAGATAGAAGGAACTTTATGTAAATGTTTCAAGGCTGTATAGATAAAAAAAAATTATTGGACTTTTACACATAGATATGTTGGACTACTCTGGAATTTCCTCCTGGTGCAATTTAAAGTCGTATATCAACTCTGAAAGGTGGATTGAATTTGTATTTTAGATTATGTTGCTATTCCAAATCAGATTGGAATTATACAAATCAGAGCTGTGATTGTGTCCTTAAATATTAGTTTAGGTTGAAGAAGTGGGTGTTAAAATGATGCTATTCTCCATTGTGCAAACAGGGGGGTGTTGAAGCTTGTGAAGACGAGGCTGAAGATTCTCTAGGTTTTCCAGTTTATTGATTTGATTCCTCTGTTGTAGGTGTGCTGAGGTCCTTGCAGCTGCTTCATGGAGCCATCTGATTTAATATCTTTTATTCAATGTTTTGGTGAAAAACAGTTCGCTCAGCTTCATGAAAATTTGCAGTTCTCATTTACCATTTCTACCACTTGAAAATTGTATTTCTTCAGAAAACATTTATACCAATCCTGTTACCTCAAATAATTTTTAAATGCAACTAAACAAAATAGTTAATTGGAGGATAAAGTCACTTAAGATATTGGTTTCAAATAAGTTTTCATTTTTCAACTTATCCAGTTCAGGGTCACAGCATTAGACTAATCCAGGGTGTATCATGCCTTGTGATGCCAGTCCATGAGATGACACACACACACACACACACACAAACTAGGGACAATTTAAAAATTAACCCACAGAGAACAGACAGAATTCACACAGATAACACCCCAGGTGTTGAATCCAGGGCTCCAGAACTGATATACAGCAAAGCTTACTACAGCGCCACCGTATAGGGAAACATATTAAATATAACAACAGCAAAATACACCGTGAATTTATAGTAAGCAGTCTCTTTCTCTAGGCTCAAACTGTCCCATGAGACAAATCCTTATTTTATTTTCTAGTTTTATATCTCAAACTCAATGCTTTCAACACAAACAAAATAAAACCCTACAAAGATCACAAATCCCAGTCTTACATATGTCCACCGAAAGAAACAGTGTGTATACCGTCTTAATAAACACTTCACAAACATCACAAATTGTAGGCCTACATTATTTTCACAATCTCTGTGTAATGCAACCAGTGCTATTATGTTAGTAGTAATACTATTACTTCTAAGCTGTGCATTGATTAGGTCACGCCATGGTTTAATGTATTTATTGAGATTATTTATATGCACTTTACTGTGATTACAGAGGTCTTATTAAGGTTGGGGTGTACTGGGGTTGTATAATGAGTATCTACTTTAGCAGGCTGCTTCAGGAACCACACCTGTTCCAATCCCTTAACAGATCTGAGAGAATGAAATCATTCTTATTTAATATGTTATTTGAAATCTAATATTGGGCACTTAATGTCTTAATGTTTTCTTTTTTAAACTAGAACATGTTAAATATAAGGCCCATCCGACGGAGCAGCACAATGGAGCTTCAAAATGAAAGACAAGCCGTTATCCCAAATCCTACTGAGATGATTGGCTTTGAATATGCCAGCAGCATTCCCCCAGAGGAGTCCGAATTAGTTATTTCCGGTAACTCTTCCACCCTGGGGCCTGGACTGGACAGCGATTTTGGAGCCAGTGCTGGTAAGAACTTGAAAGACGAAAGATGGTTTCACATACATTTATTTCTTAATCATATTATATTATAATATAGGGTGATATTTGCTTTTGTCTGAAGGTGGTAGCTGGCAAAAATGTTTGTACTAATCTGTTTTTTGTGCGTGTATCTAGAACTAGAGTTGATGTTGTCTTATACCCACTCAATTTGGAAGAGCCAATTGAGTGTTTGTTTAGTCTTTCTCGTAGCTTCGAACTCTGTGACCGCACCCAGGGGAGAACAAGGAAGTGTCATCCAGCCTAGATTCTTTAAAGCTGTCTCTTTTAGCATAACGCAGACAACACAGCCCTGCACTATAAGTTTAGCGCCAATTGGAGGAAAGCCATGTCCCTCACTGACAGTATTGCATGTGTAAGCACCCAGGAGACCACAGGGGGTGCTGTGTCCCTGAGAGACAAGAAATCTCTGAGTGACTAATTCAACCCTACCCTCAGGGACACTCAGCCAGTTTTATAGCCACTGTGGGAATTGTGGTCACAGTCGGTTAGTGAGAATACAGACTCAAACTCTGAATCATGAAGCTCAGCCTGCACTTCAGTGAGCACCTGTAATAGTAAAGCCGCCTGGAAGTCTTTTCTATTTTTTATTGTGTCATGGTGATTTTTTATTTGCACATTGGAAGTTTTGGTTCTGTAGTCAATATTACCTCAATTATAAGCATAGTAGCAATACAAACCATTTTCATTAATACTGACTCTGTCTTGTCTCCAGGGATTTCTTTGCGAATCTTGTCGTCAGACAGCGAAGTCTTCCCCACCACTGTCTGGGCCTCAGGGTTGGAGTGGGATTATTATGACCCCAGCTACAAGAGACGAAGCCAAATGCACAGACACTTGGAACACGTGCCCACGGTCAGCCACAAGCAATACTGGGTTTAACTGCACCTCAAACTCAACAGCTCTATCAAGAGCCACACAGCACAATCACTTCTGAAGGCACAGATACAAGGATAAATGACAATTTCTGCAATTTTGAATGTATATTTAGAACTATAGTTTAGAAACACTTTAATTAATAGTGCACAATTATGTTCTAATTTGTATTTTTTTAGTTTAAAAAAATCTGAATATTTTTTGTTCCGAGAATTGAGCACACAGCAAAAATCTCACCTTTCAAGAAGATAAAGCACGTTGAATAGAATCTGTTCTCTTAACATCGAGAAGGTAGACGCTAGCAAAATAATAATGAGCACCAAATCTAACAGCCCAAACACTTGTGTTTAAAAGGTATTCACTAGTTTAACAAAAACATATTCAGAAATGTTTTTTTTTGTTCGCCAGAAAACTTAATCTACCTTCACTTATAAAAAATTAAACCATTGTTTATATTTCTGATTTAGTGAAGCACTCTTGTTTTTGCACTATTTATGCTAGGTATTATAAACCACAGACATAAAAAAATTTGAAAACAATATTGTGTAATTTATAATTATTTTTTTGGGGAAATGCAAAATATATGTAAATACTGTATTGTAATAATAAATTATTTTATAATATGAACCTACTGAAATTTTGTCTATGCTTTCAATAAGATCTCCTACCATTTATCCTTCCATCCAAGATCAAAAAGACACTTACAGTATTCCTGGTAATTAACCATGGTTATGGACTCCAGTCCATTGCAGGACACAAACACACACACAAACAATTTAAAGATGTTAATTTATCAAGCCTCCATGTTTTTGGAAGGTGAATGGTGATATAATGTAAAGGTTTATTCCATGCTGAAAAGGTGATATAATGTAGTTTGGTACTTTATATAACAATTTTATATAACAGATCTCTGTATCACTTATGTAGAGTTTCCTCTGAATTTAATACACTTGGGACTCAGATCCTTTTGAAATGTCAGCAAAACGGAATGTTCCTTCAGGCTTTCATAGTGTGCAAACATTGTAACATGAAAGTCTTAAGATTAAAAACCGTAATCACAGCAAAGTTGGGTGCTAGAAACTGCATTGAAAAATTGTGGGTTGCGATCTGTCAATGATTTTTATTTTTCCATCCACTTGTCAATTTGAGACACCTTTAAGTTTACAAAAACAGATAAGCAACTCCACTGCCGACTAAAGAGAAGATTCAGATGTTTGATCCTTCCAAATCCTTGTAAAGGGCTCAAAACAGAGAATCTTCTGTTCTCACAAAAAAACCAGAGGTTGAACAAGAAGAAAAACGTTTTGACCCTGACCAATCACTGTTCTCTGATTTCCAGAGTTCAGACATCGGGTTCTGTCATTTTTCAATTGTAAGAAGGGAGAATCAGCTTCAGTACATTGTCATATCAGGCTGCTCCATGCACCAATGGGCTGTCTTAGACTACCCAACCACTATGGAAGTGCTGGGGAACTTTGCAAACATGCACTTGTTACATGATTGCTGTTAAATATTGACAGACATGGTGCACTGGCTGCTGTAGCAATGTGTCAGTGATTGCAGTCTAAATGCCTGCCAGATATTGGAACACATAATGCAGGTTGAGTAGACTTCAATCTTACCTTGAGAGAATAATGTGCTATAAGTGAATGAGCTATACATTTCAGTTGTAGAATGTTAGTGTTGGAAAATGAAACAAATGTTAGGATATAGTTACAAGTCTAGAATTTCAAGTGATGTTATGTTATAATTGTACTACTTTCAAGTATAAAGTAATTTAGAATACTGAATACTGTGTTGAAAAATATTGCTGATATGGAAATAATCTAGAGATTATCAACCAGATACATTCATAAGGGAATATCCTAAACTGACAAACTGGGAATTGAAACTAGTTTTGAACACAGAAGAGTGAAGGAACCTAATCCAATTCCAAATCCAAAATTGTCAAAGGCATCAACAAACGCACTCAAGTGGACTTCAGAATCGACAGTGAAACATGAACCAGAGAATACAAGTTGAAACTAAATGGAAGTGCACTTAAAATACGAGATCAGGAGGCGCTTCTCTACACAAAGGCTTGTAGGAGTCCACAACAAATTAACCAGCTATGTTGTTGAAGCTGAAACCCTTCTTTCAACAAAGAAACAGAGCAAACAAAGAAAATCTCTTCACCTTACAAACATTTGTTACAGGGATACCAGCACTAACAGTAAATTATATTGGAACAGCTTTATCTTTTATACATCAAACAGGCACGTTTTCTTTGTGGGGTGAGTGAGGCCAGCTCACTTTGCAGGTTTTCTCCTTACATCCTTCCATCCATTTATTTTTAATTGCTTCTCCCAATTCTGAGCTGCAGGGGAGCTGGAACCTATCCCATCACCAATGGGCACAAGTCAGGATACAACCTGGACAGGATGCCAGTCTATTGTAGGGCAGACACACATACCTGGGCCAGTTTCCCAAGAAGGTAATTAACCCAGCAGTATGATTTTGGACTCTGGGAGGAAACGCATGTGAACATCCAGGGCTCCCCAGAGCTATGAAGCATTGATGCTAACCACTGTGCTGTTCCTCCCGTCTTTCTAATTATTTTATAATCAGTTTTTATGAGGAAGAAGTCTTAGAAAAAGTGTATTTGTAGGCAGACATTTGAGATGTGGTAATTTACAGTGACAAATTATTTAATGGCAAAGTCTATATTTGTCCTTCAAGCATTATACACACACACCTTTTAAAATGCATGGATTTTTGAGGCAGTGTCTACTTTTGAGGCAGAATTAGGCTTATAGACTAAAGCCTAATGAAGTTTAGAGAAAGTTGTTTTAGAAGTCACAATTTACTTATAGATCTCAAAAAAGTATTCAAACAAAAAACTACCTGTGCCGAGATCACAGACCTACATTGTCCCCTTGCTTTAGAAAAGCAAACTGACAATATGGTTGCACTAAATGTTTTTAAATGAACCTGTTCAAAACTAAAAATCTACTTTTTCCAACTATATTTTATTAATTAAGACCATGTAATATAAGACAATCCTATTAAAAGTTAACCTTTCAAGTGGACAAGCAGCAATGAATGAATCGATGAATAGCAACAGGGTCTCTAAGTTGTAAGCCAAACCAGTATTGTGACGACACGGCTTCTTGTGGAATCCTGGTTATATCTGCACATGAGCCCAATCACAGAACAGGACTAGTAATGCACATAAAGCATTCAACTAACACTTTCCCAAAAAATCCAGATTGTTTCCAAAATCCAAGATTGATTTTATATTTGGAGAGTGTTGTTTTTAGCTTTAGATCAGGTTTGTAGAATATACAGAAATGGTATGGCAGCATAATACACACTCTGCTTTGATGGTCAGAAACATACATGGAAAGTATTGCTTTCTTGCATCAACCATGTATTAAGATATCAACGCCAACGGATATGTGAACAAGGTGGTTGTTTATCAAGTAAAAAACTAACCCATCCCCCACCAACTTGCATTAATGCTCAAAATAAACCAACATCGTAACAGAATTTGAAGTATGAAACCCCTTCAACCACAGAACAAAGATTTTATAGAATTTTGCTTTATTTTATATATAAACAAGAGTGTCAAGCTGATTCCATGTCAGTGTCAAACAGCTGGAGTATAGAAACCTTACCCATACTTACTGTCTGAAATGCCCTATGAGCACTCCAGCAGAAATGAAAGCTGCTACAGTACCAAACCACACAGAAACATTTTCTTGACAGACACTATCACCAGGTAATTGTTTCACTTCTTAAGATTTTATTTTTAACAACATTTTTTCAAACTCGTAATACATTATATGCTACGTTCATAAAAAATGAAAAGTCAATAGCAATTAATTTTTCCATTTGATTTTTCCTTACAGACTAGCATTGTACCCATCACTAAAGAGGCTCACAATGTAAAGTTGTGAATTAAAAAGTTCTGAGAATAAAGCCACTCTACTGTGTATGTATTCGCTCAAATGCTCCCCCAAACATTGATAAAGACCTCTTGGCCCTGGAGTAATCCTTTCATGTACCAGAGCATAGATACAAGCAGCTACATGCTTTCTCTGACTGTTGTGGGGAAGAGAAGAACAAAGGATCTTTTTAAAAATGAACACATTAAGAAGCATAGAGTCCTAGAAATGTGGTATTATTTAGATTTGAAGTTTTTGTACAACGTGGCCGGGATGGATAGATTTTGGTCCGCCGTGTGGTCAAGTTTAGCCATAAAGATCATCATCATTGTCCTCGTTGTAGACGTTTCCACCGCTGCCACCAGCAGAGCCCTGGCTTGGGCCAGCGCCACCCTGGTTACTTGAAGGGAATCTGGAGCAAAGAAGAAAAAAAAAAAAAGACCAATCAATACATGGAATTCTGGTACAGCCTTCTCTCTAGAGCCTTTCCAACTGGAATTGTTGGGATTCTGGTGTAGTGAGGATGAGGCTAAACAGCACATTAATCAGGTCAGGTTTTATGAAGTGTTAGAGCTTAATATGCATAGTAGAACAACTAAACTATAAAGCACCTGAGTGACAGTTTTCCCCTTCATTGTTAAAAAAGCTGAAGTTTTTTCTATTTTAGTCCTGTCATTGAGAAAGGTGCTGTATAATTCAAATGTTTCATTTAGGCAAGTTTATTGGATATTGTGATGCGCTATAAGCATTATATTACTTTTCATTTTGATCTGGATTATCCTTAAAGTCTGGAAGACATTTTAAAAAATAAAGACATATCTGGCACTGTACTAGAAGCTGACTCAACATTTTGACTTCCTTAACATACACCATGAATTTGCCATGCCACTGCTGTTACAAGAAGATATTTTGGGGTTTTAACTAGGCAGAGGGTTTTGAAAACAAAATGATGGGTGAACTGTTTTTTACCTGAAGCTGCCAAAGCCTCGGCTCTGTTGCAGGGTCTGTGCAAACATTTCGTATTTACGAATGTCATTATCACTGACTGAGCGGCGAGCAAAGCGCATGGCCTCCTCAAAGTGGTCTTTACGAATCTCTGGAACAGGGTCATCTTCTTCCACCTCCTGCAAAACAACAGTTTAACAGTTAAAACGTTCCACAGTTTGGATTAGAAGATGTACTGCATATGCCAAGTGCCACTGGAGCAAAGTATTCGGAGTTACATATTTAAACTGACATTTTTTATAACATGGGCACAATAGATATGTTAGGAGCATTTGCTCCACATTCAATACTCCCAAGCCCATGACAATCCTATTTCAAAACCTACTGCATAAAAAGTCCAAGACACGAATTTTGCACACTACAATATGCAATACTCACATTTTAAAGCAAGATGCCAACAAAAGGCTTAGGTTTTGGTCTCATTATTCTCCAACACATCTAGAGAATGTTGAAGTCTGCAGATTTTATACTTGAATATTATAACTTGATCAAAAAAGCTCACCATAGCTGAGGGATTGGTCTGTCTCTCACGTTCCCGCCTGATCTCATTTTCAATTGACTCTCTGATGGCTAGCTTGCAAGCTCGTTGGCAGATTTCTGTCAAGTCAGCACCGGAGAAGCCATTGGTCATCTTAGCCAGGAAATCCAAGTCCACATCCTAAAGAAAGAAAACGTTTTAAAGGTAACAATGGACAATTAAAAGAAAACAACACAAAAATCTGTTGAAACTAAGTTTTTTAGGAACTAAATCTCTTCAGTGCTATCTTTAGAACTATCAATAAACAAGTGTCCTGGAGTGCAGAGGTCCTAAAAGTTAGTGAGTTCCTGATTTACAAAAACTGACTACACATTCACTTCAGATCTACAGCAAAGATGGCAAAATACTTCAGATTATTAAATGTTCTTTTGTAGGTGCCCTAAGGACTAATTTGCCGAGATCATGATATACTATTGGTTTGTAACAATTTAAGTTTGACAATCCTGTAAGCTAAAGTCCACAATATTACAATATGAAATATTTTCCCCACACTGCAAATCAATTTTGTTTGCAAGGGAAGTTAGCGCACCAACGATGAAACAAATGCAAGCTCAATTACAAAGAGAAAGGAAAAGACTTGCCTTGGAAATGGGAGACTTTCTGAGGTTAGCCTTGAGGATAGCAATACGAGATTTCTCATCAGGGAGAGGGATGTAGATGAGCTGGTCCAGTCGCCCAGGTCGCAGAATGGCTGGGTCAATGATATCTGGTCTGTTTGTGGCCCCAATAATAAAAACATTCTTCTTGCTGGACATGCCATCCATCTCGGTCAGGATCTGGTTGATAACTCTGTCAGCTGCACCACCACCATCTCCAATGTTGCCACCACGAGCCTTCGCAATGGAATCCAGCTCATCAAAGAACAACACACAGGGAGCAGCCTGACGGGCCTGGATACAGAGAGGGAAAGAGGTTTCAGTAAAAAGGGATCTTCACAGAAAACGTATGAAAGTAAAAAAAGGTTTCATTAGTAAAAAAAGCTAACCATCTCCAAAAAAAAAATTTAATAATTCATTAATTTTAGCACAATAAATCTTACTATGAAACATATTAAGATTATGCCTGAGGTTAGATTCATTCAGGTGCATTCTGGAGTTTTTGGCACTGGAAAACCTTAATGCAGCCTGAATTGACCCATTCTTGATAACCTTTTCTGCTCAATCGTAACTTACCTTGTCGAAGATCTCACGAACATTAGCCTCAGACTCCCCAAACCACATAGTCAGCAGCTCTGGTCCTTTGATGGAGATGAAGTTTGCCTGACACTCATTGGCAATGGCCTTTGCCAAAAGAGTTTTACCACATCCAGGTGGCCCATAGAACAGCACCCCTTTGGACGGAGTCATACCAAACTTCAAGAACTTGTCTGGATGTTCCACAGGATACTACAAAAAAAAAAAATTCAGTTTGTGATTTAAACCCTCATACATGTCTGATGTAATCATATAACATTTTTTTCAACATATACTGATCTGTACAACAATTTCTGTTAACCTTCCTCACAACTGTTGTTTGAGCTCTTTCAATTCCTAGATCATTAACCACATGGATTTTACTGCTATTACCTGTACAAGTTCCTGCAGTTCTCTCTTGACATCTTCCAGACCACCAATGTCTTCCCAGGTGATATTGGGAACTTCCACCACTGTCTCTCGCAGGGCTGAAGGATTACTTTGACTCAGAGCCCACTACAAGATACAAAGGAAAAGATAAACCACCATACCCATCTAATAAGCTAGTAACATCTGCATTCAGGTTTAATTTTACCACAATCGACAAACTTAAGAAGTATGTAGATGTAATTGTGATCAGTCCTAACAAAAAACTTTCAAATATGTTTTCGATTGTATGGTGATAACTATTTAATGCTTTTGAGTTTTTCCCTTAATTGCCCATATTACCATATTACGTGTACAACACCCAGTTGTACACAACTGCTGCTGTGTGATGTTAGGGCCTATGTAAAAATAACACTGAACTAGAATAAAATGTAAGCTTAACACTTGAAGGTTGTCAAGTTAAAAAATTGTTCATTAGCACATTTTGACTGAAAGAAATACAGTATCAGCTAGCATTGTTAAGGACTTCTAAATCCACCTTACAAAAAATGTAATCAAAAAGTGGAGATCCTTAGGTGTTCTCACCCTGAAGTCATCCATGGTGACAGCCAGAGAGTTCATGACCTCTGCATCAATGGTCTCATCCTCAAGATCAATGAGGTCCATTTTCTTTCTGATAGCCTGAAGAGCAGCTTCTGAGCAAAGAGCAGCCAAATCAGCACCAACATGGCCATGGGTCTCATTGGCAACCTGGAAATACAGATTCATAGACACTGAGAATTCTACCTATTGTAGCTAACAGCCAGGACATATCCTTCGTAACACTGGCCTAAACCCTTCACTCAGTCAGCTGCATCCCACATTGAAATTTCTTTAGGGGTAGAGTTCTGAAAAATATGAAGTTATAGAAAAGAAACCACATCTGGCTTCAAGTCAGAAAATGCATTCAATGAAGGGAAGTTTACATCAGATCAACATAGAGACCTAAATACTTCCCCAATCATCCATTTTGCATAAGTGGAAAGTAAAATAATTCAACAATAATGCAATCTGCCTCTTACAATTTAATTAAGTAAATGCCCTTTACAAACAAAACTCCTTGAGCCAAGAAAAAAAAAAAACAGAAGATGAGAAGAGCCTATATAAGACAGACCTGTTCAAGATCAACATCATCAGCCAGTTTCATGTTCTTAGTGTGAATCTGAAGGATCTCCAGTCGGCCTGTGGCATCAGGAATTCCAATGTCCACCTCTCTGTCAAAGCGTCCTGAAGTGACAGAAAAAGTGACATTAAAAAATGCAGATATCAAAACTAAGAGATTTCCATCAGAAACAGGTTTTAAATGTGCACTGTTTAATGTGAATTTAATTGAAGAAATCAAGATCTTCCTTTGCTCTTTATTCACTTTATTACAAAAATATGTTGTATCAGCTAAAATGAACAAGCACCTTATGAACTCTAATGATTTAACCAACTCCCTAAGGTTCATCCAGGAGACTATCAGTGTTCATTTTTTTTTGCTCTCATATCAACAGAATACAATAAAAATGAGTGGAAAACCCCAGATCCCAATCCCCATTCAGAATAGTAACCCCTTTCTCAAAATGTATGCCATTAGAAGTTAGCCAGAAAAAAAAAAGACCAATATAAAAAAACTTAATATTTGGTATCTTACCAAATCGCCTGAGAGCTGGGTCAATGCTGTTTGGTCTGTTGGTAGCAGCCATGACAATAACATGTGCTCTCTGCTTCAGACCATCCATGAGAGTCAGCAACTGAGAGACAATGCGCCTCTCAACTTCACCGTGGGTCTGGGAGAGAGAAGCAGACCAGTCAGCCTTTTCTCAGGGCTTTCACATGCTAATGAATGACAAGTCAAGACTGTACTGAGGATTACAGTCTACTATTTACAGATGTCAGTCTACGGATGAAAATTCAAATTATATATAAAAAAGCTATTTCACTCTGGAAAAGCTATTCTAAAGGCCTAGGTTTCTGCTCACCTTCTCTCTTTTTGGAGCAATAGCATCAAGCTCATCAATGAAGATAATGGCAGGGGCATTCTTCTCAGCTTCTTCAAATGCTTTTCGCAGATTGCTCTCTGACTCTCCAGCAAGTTTACTCATAATTTCTGGTCCTGAAAACACCAGTAAAAAAATCACACAGATATTAGATTTTCCTCCATATCTATTGTTTAACTATTTTATTCTCACAGAATATTTTCAGTAATGTAGGATGATTGGATTCCAATGTTAAAGGGATCTCTCCATTTGCTTTGACAACACAAACATTAAAGCACAATATGCACTACAAGTTAAATTATATTTATCCAAAAGTTGTGTATAGGTGTTTTTATTCTCAAGCCCCATTCAGAGCGGCATAAAAATGTAACCTGGTCTGAATCCAAAGAGTGTATCAGACAAAATGGTCTGATTTATATACAGTTTTTTCAATTTCAGTTTACACAAATACATTTCTCCTGTATACAGCCCCTTACCATTAATGAGGAAGAAGAAAGCTCCTGTTTCATTTGCCACAGCTCGAGCAATCAGTGTCTTGCCAGTTCCAGGGGGTCCATAGAGCAAGATGCCACGTGGAGGCTACACATATAGAATTTTTCTCATTACAATTATACACTTACACACACTGAGAACTGAAAACAATTGCTAGAATTCAGATTTTTATTTTTACCTAAATTGTAGTTTCTTTACAGTTACTGCTAAAGCAACCTAGCAGTCTAGGTGTCCAGTTTTTACCCAACATTGCAATAGGGAGTATTCTCACCATTCCATCGCATGTTAGCAAACAAGTAGTAAGCATCTGTCTGCAGCTCCAGAACAGGCAATACCCACCTTCACACCAATAGCCTTGAAGAGTGCAGGGTGCCTGAGAGGGAGTTCCACCATCTCCTTGATTTGGGCCAGCTGTTTCCTCACTCCACCAATGTCATCATAACCAACTTCATTCAGAGATTCTTCCTCATCCTATATCCCAAAATTCACAATACAGTACAGTCCATTAATGTCATTGCTTTCCACAGCTTGTATTTAGTAATTCCAGTAAGTGTAAGACTTATCAAATAGTTAATCTAAAATAACACATTAGAAGGGAGCTCCAGAAATCTAGATTAAGCAGATACTGACAGATCAATCTGTAATTTATAATCAAGCCACAGAATTTTCAACTGCTCATTGCTTCAAAAAAGGTAGTGTATATAATTTTATTTCCATGTGTTTTTTATTTAAAGAAAAAAAGTATTCTTTCCTTTAAGTATTTTTAATACACAAGAAAACAGATTTCAATGCAATTTGGGTGAAAAAAACTTCATCTTACAATGTACGTCATAAATATAATTGCATTGTAAAAAAGGCAAAAACTGTTGTATTCTCAAAGTAACCCACCTCCCGTTTAATAGGCTCTCCTTCACAGTGAATCACTGTGTCAGGAGCCACTATACAGTAAGGGCTGGGGTCTGTCTCCACCACTTTGAATTCCACAGCTCGCATTCCACCTCTTACCAGGAAAATATCTCCTACAAAAACAGCAAGTTTTGTACAAACAAGTATGTTTAGGAGCCAGCTAGCCAACTCCCATACACCCACCACAAAAACCTATCCATTCACCAATTTTCAGCTTCATCCAATTCAGGGTTGTGGGGGAGCTAGAACCTATACAGGCAAGCAGCAGGCAAAAGGCAAGGGTATATCCTGGATAGGACACCAATGCATCACAGAGCACATGCACAGACTCAAACCAGGGCCAGTTTATCAGGAAGTCAATTAACCTATCACCATGTCTTTGAAAATACTGTGGGAGTGGGGAAAAAGCCAGAGCACCAAAAGGAAACTCACACAAATATAGGAAGAACATATAAGCTCCAAACCGATAGCACCCCAGGTCCAGAATTGGATCCTGGACCCCCGCGCTGTCAAGTAGCAATGTTACCCACTGCACCCCTGTGCAGCTCCCAACTAATTACCTTCCATTCAATTTATTTGAAGGAAATTCCATATTTGTAATTAGTTTGAGAACATTCTTTTCAAATGAATTTCTGGAAAACTGAAGGAGCGGATTCCGTGGACTGAAAAGACCATCCATTAGGTCCTAGCAGACATCTAGCCACCTCCCTGCCTCCCACCAAAATGAATATCACCTGTGGTAAATCACCTTCCGCTAGGTATGGAAGGGGAGCAGTAAATCCAGTTTCCAGGAAAAACAGGATTCAGTGAGACTTCAATACAGTATTTCATATTTATTTATCATTAAGACATTTACCTTTCCTGATGGGCCGGTATGCCTCCAAGAAGTATGGCTTGAGATAAACCTCAAACAGATTTCCTGTGATCCCTTCCACTGTGTCATCGATGGGAAGAACATGAATACGTTTGCCATACTTCACGTCTGGGCATGGCTGGATACTGTTTAAAAAAAAAGGTTAAAAATATCACCCACTGAAGACACAATTGGAAACGCAATTTAAATGACATTTCAGACTGCAGTGCCATGATTCCACAGGTGTGTGAATCTGACAAAAAGAGACAATGAACATGGTTATTAACCTATGCAAGCAGTCTGACAAACTTGATCAGTCTATTCAACCTGCAGACGCCACAATGCTCTCTATTACACTAATTTACGACAGCCTTCTCCTAATTTAATTAGAAGGATCAGTATAGACCTGATTGCATTAAAATACCTCCATGGAGCAGGTAGGAGTAGCTGCAACTTAAGAACTCTTGCTTAGCTTAAATGTGGATTCTTCACTGTGGTTAGATCTTCACCTATTACGAAATCCAATTGAATATACGTTTCCTAAATTTGAAACTAATTTTCTGTGATCCTTGTTATGTAATGAAAAGTGTCATACAATTGATGAAAAACATACCAAAGATCATCATGGCTTGGCAATTACTCTACTGTATTCATAAGGGAAAGGTGAAGCCCTATTGAAACAGTGTTTGAAGTTTTCTTTGATGGCTACAAACATTAAATAAACCACTTTCTCATGCATGACAAAACACAAACAGCTATTCTACCAATGGCTCCAGAAATAATAAAAAAAGGCTATATAGTTCTAGTTTCACTGTGGAGCTATTAAATTGAATTAGATTATGAGCATACTTCATTTTAGATTATTTTACCTCATGTTCAGCCAAACAATTAAACAACCCACTCAGACACAATCTATACAAATCTATAAATTAACTGTTTTTAAAGAGCAATAATAAAGAACCTTCAAATAAGCAGGTATAATATAGATTACACAATTAAAAACTAACTAAATCCACTTGTACAAAAATGAATTTCAGTACTGTGGATCTGAGCCTGTGGCTGGAAGGTTGCTGGTTCGTATCCCGTGACTGGCAGAGGAATCTTACTCCACTAGGCCCCTGAACAAGGCCCTTAACCCCAGCTGCTCCAGGGGCGCAGTATAAATGGCTGACCCTGTGCTCTGACCCTAGGCTTCTCTCCCTATCTGTGTGTCTCATGGAGAGCAAGTTGGGGTATGCAAAAAGACAAATTCCTAATCCAAGAAATTGTATAAGGCCAATAAAGTGATCTTATTTTAGAAATATTTAAGTAAAAAAAAATATTTTATTATTTTTTTCATTAAAAACCTTTATTTCAGTTTAACTGTTTAAAAATTATTATAAATTCAATGTCTTTTATAGAACATAGCATAATTTGCATTTAGCTTTGTAAAACAATTCTCAAAATGCAGTCAAAGTGTCTGTAAAAACTTAATCAGACATTGAAGCCAACACATAAAACTGGGGTTAAAAAATACTGGTAAGTTTGTTCACATCAAAGTCAAATAGCCAAGCTTCTATTAAAGCCCCGCACCAATGAGAGTGGCAGTTTCCACCCTAAATGTCTCACCTGATGACGTCTCCCAGCCTCACTCGCAGATTGTTGCGCACAACCCTGTTCATGCGCACTTTTTCATCAGAGCAGGTGTCATCAGAGAGCACTATACACACTGTTTCCCTCCTCTTCTTCCCCTTCAGCAGTACTGTGTCACCTCTGAAGAGCTGCAGCTCATCCATTTTCGCCTGTGGCATTGACAGTGAAACAAACAGCAGCTTCACAAACTACTTCTTTAAACAGCATTTTTATTCAAATAGTTTGTCTCAGGGCTGCACAGTGGCGCAGTGATTAGTATTGTTGCCTCGCATCACTGAGGCGCTATCTACGTGGAGTTTGTATGTTCTCCCGATGTTCCTAAGGGCTTTCTCTGGGTGCTCCACTTTCCTCCTATAGTAAAAAGACATACTGCTAGGTTAACTGGCTTCTGAAAACAACTGGCCCTGGTGTGAGTGTGTCCTGTTATGTCCCTGGATGGGACACATGTGTTTGTGCCCACTGCATGCCAGGATAGGCTCCAGTTCCCTTGTGACCCTGAACTGGATGAAGCAGTTAGAAAATGGATGGATGTTTATCTTAAGGTAAATAGCGACAGCCTTGAGAACTAACATTTATACACACAAAGACAAAGTCCACAATACTAAATATGCAAATCAGGGAGTAAAACATGCATACTAAAGCTGGGATTACACAGGGTACAAGGATTATTTTTTCCAAACTGCTTATTATAGGAAAAAACTTGCGACTTCCCGTTACTTCCATAATTTTAAGTCAGTCTCTGATCCTAATGAAATTTCTACAAAACATTTTTGGGTGAAATAATCCAAAGCACCACAGATCCTGTACATAGCCAGCTCTATTTAATTATGCAATACACATGTTTTCTAAAAATTACTCTAATTAGCAGTGACCATAAATACTTTATTCTGGTTTGTTAGAACCAAATCAGAAAATATAAAGTATCTTCCAAAACCTTTAATCGTCATCAACTGTGTTTTAATATCACGCTTACTCTTATTATTAAGCGGTTTTCAAAATGTTCTTCTCAATTGCAAAACCATCTATATTTTAAGTATCTTCAAAAGTCTTGTGAACCACGGATGTAAAAGACAGCAGGTACGGAGAGGATGTTTGTTCTGTTTACAAATCTGTTGCTTATGTTTGGAATGAAACAAGCTAAAAAAAAGTAGGGGAAAAAAAACTCTGAACATCATCCTATAAATGTGAAGAATGCATTTCAGAGATCTACCAGACATACTAATTCAGAAAATGGTCTGTAATTGTGTTTAAAAGAGAAATGTCATCTATCATTGAGAGAAAGAAAATGGAATAAAGTTGACACTTTGCTATGTGGTATTCCTACTGACATTCAAGACATTTCTATTTTAGTCGCAGGTCTTTCTCAAACTGTATTACCGAGGAAGTGCTTTGTTAAACTGGAATGCATTCATCAAACAACTACCCCAAATAAAAAATAATGTAGGCCAATAGTATTTAAACAGCAAAAAGGCACAGCGAGAAAGTTTACTACATCAATAAAGAATATACCTGAGAAAGCGAAACCACACTGTTATCCTCATTGATGGATTCATCAACGATCAGCCTGTTTGGTCTGTTCTTCTGTTTTAAAATTGCAGTGGAAAGATCATCATTTTTGGATCTGTAAAAAAAAGTTATGTATTAACCAACAAGGTTTGATACTGTACAAACAAATACAAACCATTTAATTATTTGAGCAATTAAAAACTACTCAAACATTAATGGTAAATAATGACAAAAAGGATTGCACGGCTCTTTGCTTTTCTACAATGTTGTGAGTTTGTTATACAATTTCCTCGCTGTTAACACCTGTACACAGAAGGATGTTTTTGGAAGGAAAAAACATGGAATTTAAATGCTGATAAAAATGTCTTAAAATCATTGGCTTAAGAAAATCAGTAGGTACTAATGGAATAAAACAGATTCAACATTTGGACAGCTTGTTTTTCTAAAATAACATGCTCAATGATTTTACTTTGTTCATTCCCATGGTAAAAACGCATAGTGATTTTGTATTGGCAAGAATGAGATGTATGGTATGTATTATATTAGCTGAGTTTTAATTTGTTCACTGTTTAAAAGTCCTTCAGACTATAACACAAACACCTCAAAAGCCATGCTTTAAACCACTACAAGCTGCAAAGGTCAAATTAAAACCCCATAAACCCTTAAATGTTTTATAGCAAAAAGAAAGCCACTGAATTATTGCACGTTTCAAATTTTTTTTTAGTTTTTCCTTTAAATGTTTAAAAAACATTTACATGTAACTGCTTAAATAACTACCAAATCACAGTAAAACTCCAAAATCAACAAGACAGACCTTTAAGGGAATTTGTTCTCCCTAAAAACAAATTTGGCACGTGCTTTAACAAAACCTTCAGAATTTAAACACCAAATTAAGTTCCAATCTGAAATAATTTAATTCTAAGTTACTGATAACTGACATGACACCTTGGATCGAGAGCCTTACATATCAATTGAAGAGGTCAATTAAAATGGTTTTAAAAGTGTTTTAAATAGTGAAATGGTACATGGTGAAGGCCAATGCATTTGCTTTTTCTCTGGCAAAGATAAGATTCCACTTTTTAAGAAACCAGTGCTAAATAAGCATTTTTCTTTCTATGCCCTTCTCAATGGCTTACTGTGTTCTCCAGGGAATTGTTACTGTATATACTCCTAACATAATCCAGTTTACTTTACTGATTAAAACACAAGAAACTGCTTACAAGTTATGAGCATTAAAAAAACGAAACCACCTCACCCTGCATAACTGTAAATGAAAGCAAACTCGCAATGTGGAAAACCCCTGCTCACTGACCAGCAGAAACAGAAACGGTTAATGTAGGTCTGGGAGAACAGTAAATAGTGCCTTTATTTCCTATTTTATATGGCACTTTACTGTATTTGTACCAAATAATAACACATAACATGTTTCAATCAGTGGATTACACTCAATACAAATTCAAAACGTACAGTGGGATGTTACCATTTAATCTGAACTAAAGCATGTATAAATCAGTAATACATGTAGTGTTAAACGTCTAGTAATATATGTAGGCCTAAGGCTACGTGCTGTGCTTTCTCCTACAGTCCGGTATGACCCTCCACGATGCTGGTATTGACCCACCAGCGGGCCTGCATGACTCGGCTTTGTTGTCATCTGTCTCCTCACAAGCAGGAAATGACGTTTAATAGAATGTATTTACGACAAGCAATCTACGATACGGATTAAAATGGACAACTAATTAAAGATATCATATTTATATCATAGCGTCACAGATTTTGGGGGAATAGGTTGTTTACTTTTTACTGAACCTGCCATTTTGCCCACCGGCTCGAGTTAGGTCGCCTTTGCAGTGTCATTACAAAGACGCCTCTGGAGAGTAAAACGTTAACAACTGTGCCCATTATATACTTTGTGTAAAATACATATAAGATATCTGCATTTTTAGAAGGATCCAAGTAGTGTTGTTTTTAATAATGCCTTTGTTGCTTTGATTTACACAATTGTTGCCATGTTATCCTTCATATAAACATTGAAGTATACAGGTTCGCCACAATCTTCCTTGTCTTTAAAAACAATTTTCACTCCCAAACTGTCACGTGGATGATAACTCGGCTCATCTTAAAAAATATATATAAATTGTAAAACTAAAGCGGAAAAACGGGAATGGAACGTGAATTGCGAGACCCCCAGTACAGGGTTTTGTGTTGAGGGACTGCGTCTCTTCACATGCGAACAGGCCTGGATGACACAGCAAGAAAAAAACGAAACTAAAGTGCACCGAAAACACAGCGGGAACGAAAATGCTCTGTGCAAGCAACTGAAATGTGCTGCATTATCGAGAAAACTAAGCGGGCACAGAGGAGAATACGTGGCGTTTTAAAAACCCGCCACGCCAATCTAATAAAAATAAAACGCTGCAACTGAGTGAAAATAAAAACTTCCGACAACAAAAAAACCCTCCACGCTGACGATATTCCTGTGTGCCGGAACTGGGGGGGGGGAGGAGGTGATCTCGCACGAAACAGACAAAATGTATCTATTTATTTGATCACATGCAGGAATTCGGAAATCGCGCTGCGTTTCAGCTGGTTTAAGTCAACAAAGTGAAGTTAAAGCCCCGATCGCCGGTTTGCGGAGCCGAGACAAGGTGCCGGTAGGCCGGAAGCCCTTCTCCTCGGCTCGCCTTGGTTCACACTTCAAACTGCACCGCTCGTCACATTTAAAAAAGCAGCACACGCAGGTATACGTTATAGGGTCTTAAAACCCTTCAAAAACAAAAATACTCATCCAGATCTCTCTTTCCAAATGGTCACCCCCCCCACCCCAACTCTCCCCATCAGAGCCCCGCATTTTCACTTCGATCCTTATTGCGGATCAACTTCATGGTACCCAAACAGGTTTAGGTCACGGAATTTTCTAAAAGACAGGCCCAGTTAAATAAAGAAAAAAAACATTAAACAACAGCATTTCAAACATCGGAACATTTAACTCATGACGTCTAAATAAAAACGTCATTTTTTCTCCGTTCCTCCCCGTTGGCTGAGGCGAAATCTCCTCATCGACGATGATTCATTAAAAATTCATTCTGGAGGAAACTAAGAAAATGTATTTTTTTAAAACAAACAAGGCGTACATAATTTTATTTTGTCCTACTTACTCTCCTCCCGATGCCATGTCGCCCCTCTTGTGTTATTTTACAAAACAAAAAGAATAGCTCGGTATTTCGTTATTTATTGCTTCTCTACTAGCTTCTCGCCACAGTCCTTTTCCTCTCCAACTGAGTCCAAGGCCGCTCGGCTCGCTCGCATCAAAGCTGCGGAGAAACTCCGCCGCACAGATGGTGGCTAAAAACTAGCCAATCAAAAAAATCAATTTTGTTTTCCACCTGGTAACGCTAAAACTATTGGTCATATTTTTAAAACACCGTGGATAATCGACCAATCCAGAAAATAAGGGGGTTGCGGAATATTTTCTTTACCCGACAACAGAGGCGTTATTGGTTAATTTTGACAATGCTCAATGTTTTGTCAGTGTAGCAAGTGTGAGAGGACGCCCCGTAAAGCGACATGGCTTCAACTCATTGGTCCTTAATCTGTCATGTTATGTAAATTGCGTTTTCTGTTAGGGATGCTAAATTCAATTAAAATCTCAAATTCCAGCCCTTATATTGTGACACTTTCTGTTTAAAAGCATTGATTCGGATTTAAAACGCTTTACCGTTAAATTTGCAATCTTTTGATATTAAACTGTAGTCTACAGTTAGGATCAGCTTTGCTTGCTAGCTACGGTAGTTACTTTCTAACCCATACAAAATGTTTAAGATAAAAGGCCCTGGATTAAACTTCAGGGTTTCTTAATAGATGTGGTGCTAAAATAACACGTTAGGTATTATTTAATAATATTCTTACGATAAACTAGTTAATTAAGCATGCAATAGGTTATAGTAATTGACACGTACAGTATGAAAAAATTAACAATTCAAAGTATATTACTTGGAAAAGTTCAATAAAAATGAAAGGTCTGGGTTGGCTGTGATATCATTCCATGTTCCAAACTTCGTCTCTTTTGTAAGACAAATCGTTTCAACATGATTTTAACATCAGCAACACATCAATGGCCCGCTTCAGCTCAGTGAAGAGGTCGAATCTCTGCAGCACAAAAAAGGAAATCAATCCACTTTTGCCCCTTTCATTATTCTGCAAATAACGTATTGATCCATTAACGTCCATTAAGGATACAACAGTCACATTACTGTTTGCCAGTTTCGTTATACAAGCAAGTGGTCCTACAGATATTTTTTTACTATTATTGAATCTGTGACTTCATTTCTATTTATCATTTGGTTCCGGTTAATGTTGAATTTACATTAATAATTCAGGTTGGTTTAATTAATCTCCATCATTTGATTGCCTACAATGTTTTATATTGAACAAGTCTAGAGCCACCACATTAGGGGAATATTGCAGCATTTGTAGTGCTGAGATTTACTATCTTACACTAAAAGTAACTCATCAACCAAATGATAGCTATAGACTTTAAAACAATATTGTACACTGACACTTACTGTATCAGGTCTGAAACAGACCATAAACTGATTGCCATCAACTTCAATAAATTAACTTGAAAAGCAAGATAAAGTTTACCCCATTATTTAAGTATTTCTTTATGAAATAATAACTATAGAGACAGTATATGGCTTCCAAATGTTTGCTGCATTTGCATTCATATGCTCTTAAAAGAATAGTTCCCAAGCAAGACAACTTCACAAAGCCAGGTCTCTACTGAGTTTAAAATTTATTCTCTGTGACTACATGCGTGATAAGTAACTAGCATGTATCTTTTTGTGAATTTACTCTTCATTGTTTTAGGGAAAACGTCTGAAATTGGAGCATTTTCAGGAAGCCATCATCTTAAAGCTTTAACATAAGTTTGTGAAGTATGCTGAGTATATAAGTGCAAGGAATTATGATACAGCTGCATACCAACCCTAAAACACTGACACAGTTGAAATATTTAAGAAACATTTATTTGAAACTGGCTGTACTTGTTTTAGGGTTTGATTGGAAAGGAATGTTATCACAAGGCCAGTCCAAACCTTTTTTTGCAGTTAGAACTGTTTCAGATTCCACCTGCTATAACAAATTTTGAATGCGTAGGAGAATTGAGAATTTCTCTGTGTGGCAAAAATAAACAAGATCCCACAGTCATTTCCACATAGATTATAATGGTAGGCTGTTAAATTCCAGAACCAGTTTATTGAAAATGTGGTCTCGTGCCATTAATTAAATCGCAACCAAAGATTACCATACCTCCAGTTACATCATATTTCTTTAATATCCATGGTTTCCCCCCATACATCTTATTACATTATCTTCTGCAATTTACCTTTAACAACCCAAAAGCTTTTTAGTTTGGATTTACTGTTCCTCAAGAAAAGAAAACACGGGATTCTAATGTATGCCCATGCATTTATAAGTCTTGCATTATTTGTACTCTTTCCATTGTATACAAATTAAGTTACTAAGAAAAACAAAACAAATAGCACAAACTCAAGGGATGACCATAAGTGTCAGGCCTGACAGCGAAAGAGTGGAGTTCATTTTGGTTATTGTGAAATGCAACTCAAGCAGTTACAATGGATTTTTGGATCTGGAAGGACAGACACCCAAGAAAAACCAGGATGGACTGGCACAAACACACGACGAAAATGCAAATGATGGGTTCATTCTTTGTGCTTTGGTTCTCAGTTTCTGACACATGCCTTGTAGTCAGGTCAGACATTTGCGGTACACAAATCCAGCACCGTAAACAAGTCATATGGTTAGATTTAGACATTCAGTTTCTTAGACTGCACGCTTGCAGGCTGCTTTGTCCTCCCAGTGGTGGTCCTCAGCTTGAGCATTCCCTCATCCTCCTCCTCATCTCTTCTGCGTCCACAGTTTCCATCTCTCCAACAGAAGACATCAGATAAAGGGGAAGAGCTCTGCAATACATGCATTTATAGAGGGGAAAAAGGCATCAGGTGCAACATTCCAGATGGCCTTTGAAGGTGTGTGGAAATGCTGTTTCCTTTCTTCTCTTTTCAGCATGGAATAAACCTTTACTTGTGTCTTTGCAGCCTATGCATGCTAATACAGCTCCCTATTTGAACTTCATCTAAATGACAATGCTTTTTTTCTGGGTCTTTGCTTTTCACTCAGAAATTTCTCTGTACACTTTAGTGAATGTGATGGCTGGAGGAAAAACTGTTCGAAAGAAGATGTTAAAGAACTTAGAATGTCAACAGCACATTGGAGCACAATGGCATTGAAGTTTGCTGCTTAATTACCATATGGAGCATAAACGTTTTTTATGAATTGATCAAAAACATTACTAATACACTAGAAAATAGGAAAAACATTGTTATAGTAAAGTTGGGACATGGCTTCAAAATGGGTCCATCTACGCTGATTGTGCAGTTAACAATAAGTTAGGATTCTGCAATTAAAATGAATAAGACATTTCATTCTGTCAGTTAGATCAGTTCTCGGTCATGAAGTACCACTGTGTCTGCTGGTTTTTGCATTAACTGGGCCCTTAATCAACAGTGCTAATTGATGCCAGTAGTTGATATGCTTCTTTCTTCATGTCTGCGCACATGATGCAGTTTAAAAAATATCCTCATAGAATGGTCTTCAGTCTACTCTTGGGTAACTCCAGCCCATTTCCTCATCACAAGATAATTTAAATTTTCAATTTAAAAGCTTAAAAAATTTAAGTTTATATATTTTTTAAATTTCAATTTTGTGTCAGATATTAAAAGGTCAAATGAGATTTGCGATCGGTATAAGCCCTGTGCTAATTGATGATTTTCAGGGCTGTACTCATTCAGGTATGTGAGCTGAAATATAACCAATTGGACTTAGTAAGAAAGTAAGACAAAACATCCTTAGTAAGAAAACGAATACGGTGTCATTACTGCCTGTGTCTGTTCATCATTAATAGGTCACTTACTTAGAGCTGTTTAGTCAAAAAGGAGGGTGGCATGGTGGTATAGTGGTTAGCATTGTACATTACTGGGGCCCTGGGTTCAATTCTTGGTGGGCTATCTGTGTGGAGTTTGTATGTTCTCCCTGCATTTGTGTGCGTTGCCTCAAGGTGGTCTAGTTTTCTCCCACAGTTCAAAGACATACTAGTAGGTGTATTGGCTTCTGGGAAAATTGGCCATGGTGTGTGTTCTTGCCTATAAATGCCCTGCAATAGACTAGCATCCCATCCAGGGTGTACCCTGCATTGTGCCCATTGCTTGCTGGGATAGGTTCTGACTCCCCCACAACCCTGAACTGGTTATTATGATAAATTCTTAAATTTCTAAAAAAATCTCTATGTGCTTAAGCTTTTAGAAATAATGCACTTTAACTAGGGCACTCAACGAATACTTTTGAAACCACATACTGAGTCACAGACACTAGTAAGTACTAGTGTTTAAGGGCCTGAGCAAGCACAGGAGTTCTGTGAACCACTTACCATCAGAAAGTTTAATTCTGTATTAAGAACAATGCATGCAAGTAAAACTAAGTGATAATTCATTGAGAAAAAATATTTTTAAAATAATTTAATAATTTTTCAGGGTGCAGATTTTTCCTACATGAACAAGGTAAATACATACAAGATTCAACAAGGAAAGCCTTATCCACTTGGATTTGGATTCAATGCCACTCTTCTAGACAAATGCCAGTTCTTCCCTCACCTTTGCGGAACTTCCTCAACAGTTTCTTCCCGTGTGGAGCTCTGATGCTTGCTCCAGAAGGCCACGGCTTCCTCCCTGCGCCCAAGGCTCCAGAGCGCTTCCGTCAGCCATAGCTCCGTCTCCTCGCAGCCTACAGACAGACCAAGAGTCCTCTGAGCCTGTGTGACCTCCACCAGCATTGCAGCATCGTTGCTGCACGGTGGAGAAGCTTGACAAGGGCCTAACTCGAACCCCGCCTATAACATCACGCACTAGTGGGACCATAACCAAGTAGCCCACTCACTCGTTTGAAATTCATGCTCCCGAGTCTTAAATTCCTCAAAGTCATCTGCAATGCCTCTGTATAACCCTCTAGTGTCATACATCGCCTGACTATTTTCTGTAAAATGTCCTCTGTCGGGCAGATAAACATCACCCGACTCCAGGTCACTGTCCATGGAGTTGCTGGAGTGGTTAATTCCCCTGTCACTCTGTGTTGCACTGTTTCCTCGTCGATTTTTTTCCCCCAGCCTCCACGGCAGTGCTGTGCAGTATGTTGCTAGCAAGCACTGAGCCTGAGCCACCGTAGGCTAACCTCTTCATAAGTTCTGATCCAGGAGAACATCTATATTTTAGTCTGTTATACTGTTATCTCAAACTGATCTCTCTTTTTTTTTTAGAGAGCACCAATTTTATGCTTTTGTTACATTGGTAATATTAGGTGATATAGTAATATTCTGTATTTTGGTGGTGACCCACAGATCATTTTAATAATCGTCACAGGTTTCTTTTTCTATCCTTTTCATTTCATTTCTTTCTTTCCTGTAAAACTTTTTGTCCTATTTAAATTTTTACGATCAGTATACCTCCCATAGGAAATTGCGCTGTCGCTCGTGTAAGTCTCGTCAATTGATTAAATTAGGTAGGTAATTAAAGGTCATTAAATTAAATGTCATATCCCTAGACCAGACCCCAGATCTAATCCTGGCCTTAGCTTGATTCTATCCATTTATTTTCCAATACGCGTATCGAGTACAGGATCATGGGATGGAGCAGAAGCCTATACCAGAAAGCAACGGGAGAAAGGCAAGATGCACTCACACCACAGCCAATTGTCCCACCATTTAACCTACTGGTATATCTTGGGACTGTGGGAGGAAACTGGAGCACCTGGAGGAAACCCTGGCAAACCTGGGGAGAACACACAAACTCCACACAGACAGCACCTCAAGAACTGGACCCATGGCAGCAATGCTAACCACCATGCCACCTGGATTCTATTTCAAATGATGAGCATATTTAGAAAGTGCCATGAGAGAGACAGCTTTCAATATTAGCAGTATTAGTGAATTACAATTGGGATGATAGAATAATGATTTTTTTCAAAGCACACAATGTTTAACTCACTGTGTGTTATACTGTGAGTTGAGAGGGCACATAATTCAATGTAACACTGGGGCCCTGGTGAGGGTGCACTGACTGGGTTGCATCAGCCTTTTAGTGTATCATAAATGCTTCTGTATATCCATACCATCTAAATATTATGCTCTCATGTGACATCAAATGACCTTTGTTAAACCTCAAATTGATGCAGGCTCCTCCTTTCATGTTTAGGACTGCATCTTATGGCATAATGAGGCATTCAATTCCTTATAACAGGGATTGGCAATTTAAGACCTCAAGTTCTGGAGTGTCTCCCTTTTCTTTACACCTCTGATCATAACGATGTAATTGAACTAGATAAGATGTTGAGACACTTTTCACTTTAGCCCTTAACCAGATGAAACCTGGAAAGCCCTGCAGGAATCTGACTCTTGAGGACTAGACTTGCTCTGCTCCTACAGTATAAGACAATGCACAGCACGATGGTATTTCTGTTGCGATAACCACTCATTTCAGCAGAAGACAAGGTAGCTCAAACGTTAAGGACGTTAACGCCCTTGTTAAACAGATCAACCCCCTGTCCTGCATTGGCCTTCAATTCACCGTGTTTCCAAAATTAGCAAGTGGCTGGACTCCTTTGTGCCCTGTTCTTTAAAGCCGACAAATCCAAGGGCTTGTAGTAAGGAATCCAGCAGCAGCAGTTGTTGATATAAAATCCATCCTCCTATATTTCTAAGTTGCTCGGGCAATAAGCATCTGCTAAATGCGTTACAATTTTTACAAAAAGACTGAAAATTAACTAAAGTCATAAAGCACTGGATTGACAAAAAAAAAATCCAAAAGCAGATATCTGCCCAGGCCTGCAAGCCTTGAAATGATTTTTTCCAAGTAAAGTGAAAATACTGCTAGTGCTCTTTATTCTATCTCTAAAAAGGAGTTCCGTAATGTGCTAATAAACAGATTACATAAAAGCTAAATATCCTGGATAAAACACTCCACACTTCATTTGAAAATTGTAATAACAGATCTTATTGTTTTATTTACCACCTTCTGATACTTTACCTTTATTAAGCTTAATAAGCTTTGTGTGTGATTTTTCTACTTTTTTCTAAGTCTTGGAGCCTACCTGTCATAGTTGAGCACAATGCTCACTTGACGTATTAAAAGGGCTTATTTTGACAAAAACAAATCTTAATTGGCTCTTTTTAAAGTGTGTTTCCATATAAAACATTTGTTTAGTGTTAAAACAATAAGTCATGCACCATAATTTTCCTTCCAGCATTATGACTCTAAAGAGATTTAACAGAAATCACAGTAAGTAAACTGAGAAAGCAAACTTTATACTCCCTTTTAAACTTTATACTTGAATTACTGCCTTTGGAAGTTAAATGCTTTTAATCAACCCTATGGAGCAGAAAGTAGACTTAGGAATGAATGCATTGTGTTTATCTTAGATTTGGATGCATTGATAACAGAGAGAGGAAAAATAATGAAAAAAAGTGAATCCCAAAAAATTGTATCTGCATAGGATTAGCAGATTTGATTATACTGGTACAGACAGAACAGTATTGGAAGCAAGAAAACTGGTACAGCACATTTTATACTCCTTACTCAACAAAGGAAACTATGTGATGAGCTCTCTGAGTCATTGTAAAATGTACATGAGCTCACTGCTTTCCCCAAGTGAGCATTTCTCCTTTTCTTTAGAATAATTTCACCACAGTAAATTAACAAATAACCGAGTTCAGTAAATAAAAGATTATGAAGAAACCGCTAAATCACTGGATGCATTAAGCTGTGAGATATGAACTAATTTTTCAAACCTTCAGTACAGCCAGTGACTTATCTTCAAATTGAAGGCCAAAGAAATCCAGGGTATTGTGTAAAGGGAGAAAGAGTTGTTTAAAGTGTGGAAAACAGGGCATTGATGAGTGGAGATACCTCACAGTTGAGTGAGGGCATCAGTGGGGTGACACAGTGGGGTGAGTCAGTTTTGGGACTACGGCTTCTTAATTTGCATGAATGATTTTAGAAACAGATGTATTGTGTTAATGTGGATTCTGAAATCGGACATTACAATTCGTAATAAAGCAGCAATAACACCTAGTGTGATAACATATGGCTGTGGCGTGAAGGGGGAGAACACCGTACCTGGGGTTGCCTGTAGACTGAGCTGGAAGTTGAGGAGAGCCTCTTTCCCTTGCTGTCTTGCCATGAAGCTCACCCCTCTGCCAGCGAAAGCCAGGGCCTTCAGCCTCCGCAAGGCCATAATGCTAGTTAGGGTCTCCTCACACAGGTCCGGACCTCCTCGCAGCCACCATGAAACAATAAGCCTTAGTCACTGCAGAGCTCGCCCAGCTGAGCTGGATAATGACACCACAGCAAACCCAGCAGCAGGCATGTGGGTCATCAGCACTACTTCACATGACAATGACACAATCAGGGTCTCGTTTTTCCTTGCAGCAATCCATTAAAGCCTCTTTGAAACTTGTTGTCCTTTAATGGAATGTGGCATTTTAACCACATTCAGGCCAATTCCCTTAGAACCAGGCTAAAGAGTCAAGGAGAATGAAAGAGATGTCAAATTCGACGTAGTGTCGAGGCAATTAATCGTGAACTCCAGATCTCTTCAGCAGGATAGAGACCTGTCTGGTGACTTAATTGTGCTCAAGTGGCATTACACTGACCTTAAACTCAGCCCTACCCTCAAATAATTCTCAACATCAAGTCAGTAAAGAGAACCTGAACAACTGTTCACCTGAGCCACAGCAGCAGAGGAAATCAAAGTTCAGGGATCACGGCTGATGGAGAGAATAGCAAGCATTTCTATTTGAAACTATACAATGCTAAAGTATAACGTTCATTGTACATTATTTTGGTTAGCAATTCATACCAACAGGTCTGCATGCATATCTGTGGATCATTTATCTGATGTCCTGCTCAAGTAACCTTTAGTTATGGCCCCAACTCAACTCTGATATAAAAAGAACTCTGACCTTATCTGTTATCCAGACCAACTTTGATCAATTAGCAAATTCTTAATTATAATCTTATTTTTAATTTCCAAAGATAATCGTGAAACCAAACTTGAACCCTCACTTATGTTCAATTACAACCTACAGCCAAAGGCCAATAATCTTAATCACTACAATAATCCGAACCTTAAGTCCAAAGCCGACCACTGCCATAATTAATATCTACTACGCAACAAGCATTAACCCTTCTTTAACCCTCTGAACATACTTCTACCCTAGCAAAAATAAAACCCTAGCAATTTCCTTTATGCCACTTTAGAGATCATGACTGTTCTTCTCAGATCTCACCATCTAGGTTTTTTACACAAGAGTGTGTTTTTTTTTCCAAATATCATTGGGCATCTAGGAAAATAAGTAAAAGCCACTTGACAGTCAAGTGTCAATACGCTGCCCCTGAGCATTCTTAACTGTCACTCACCTGTATGTTCAACAGGCACCTTAATCACAATATTTATACACCTGCAACACAACAAAAGAAAATTTAATTCAATTAACCATTGCTATTGCATGTGTTTGCAGGAAAAAAATCCATCCATCTCTTTTTTGAGGATTGATATTTACCTAGAAGGGGAGCATTCATTCATTTTGTTAATGTCAAATAGTTTGCGTGAAAAACAAAGACTAAAACAGAGGATATGCACTCATTTTCCAGCAGATTGAAAAAGGAGGGTGATGGATTGTGACAAAACAATGGGCTTCCCAGTATAATCCAGAGAATGTTTGGTTTGAATGGCTATAACGTACAGAATGATTCTAAACTCTCATCAACCAAAACAATTCTTTGCAGCAGGAAGACAAAAAACTTGTAGCTAGATTAGAAAAATTAACAATGCGGTTATGTTAAAAATGGGTATTTTAATGTAATGGGTATGACACTAAAGGTAATTTGTGAAATCTTTTGCATATAAAAAACTTCTTAAAGAGAATTTCTAGTGGCGTACATGAATGAAATTCTTTATTTAAAGCAAAACTTCACTTCACTACGTTTTCCAGTTTTTTATAAATCCAGCTACCTGATCAAACAAGACTGGAAAGAGTTTTGAAAACTCTGGATATTCTGTAAACCCAATGAGAAGTGAAATTCCTAACCTTACAAAAACAGTTCTGGAATATGTTTTTTCTGGATTAAAATCAACAGCTGAATGCTAAAAATGGGGGGGAAAAACTACATTCAAGCTTTAATGTTTTTCTTTTCTAAAATAAGCAACACAGTAATCAGGTTAAGTGTGGGAATTTCACAAATCTACTGTTTTTAACCGAGGCTCTAGAACATCATTAAGATCCCTTTTCAAGGGCTGAATCATTAACATGGACTGTTCTGTACTCCGGTTTGTGAATATAGACAATTCAGGACTAAGAGAGTGGGACAAAGAGGTTTTTACCTTACCTGGTATAATTACTAATCGACTCCTTACTCTCTTTTAGCCAAGTAAATGCCTGTCCCTGGAAGAAAAAGGCTGTTGCAGCCCAAAGGGCACAGTTCAAGCTTTCTTTCTTCCCCTCTGTATCTTTCCGAAATTGTTTTCCACACAGAGAAGGGACCAGAAAAGCGGCACTGGTTTCTTGGAGTTCTTTCTGTGACAGATCCAGGGTGAGTCTCTGCGGAATGAGGTCTACCGTCTTAGCAACAACTTCCTCACATACTGCAACAACGTCCCAGTATCTCTTGGCCTTCAACAAGGATACTGCCGCTTCAAGATAGATTTCAGGGATTCTGGGAAGGGCTGGACTGCTATCCGTGGTCACCTAAGAAACATGATTGCACAGTTTACAATGAAAGCCATTCCACGCAATATACTTCTCTATTTTCTTAACGCATCTGTAATTTTCATTTTCTCCCCTGAAAGAGATTAAACCATGAAATACTGATACAGTGGAGCCAACTCCAGCTGCAAAGTTGGAAGAGACATTCCTGAAAAGCATTTTAATTATTTTAAGAAAATATGAAAGAAAAAAGCATCCAATGTATATTTTCATTGTAAATTTATAAATGCTTATAAAACAGACTGAACATTAGCAGAAATAAAAGACATTTAACCACGAATTGAATTTAACTTGTCTTTGTGGTATTAAATGCATATGGAACAAGAAATTATAAATTCCACATTGCAAAGCCCTCTTCAGGTGTGTAAATAAGGCACTACAGCCAAAAGTGTTTACTTTTTTTACCTCATTTCCGCATGGAACTTTTAGGGCATGGACAGTAACACAGCTCCTCACTCTAATCTGTGGAGCAGTGAATTTTTTGTTTTGGCTAGTCATTTTAGGCATGAATGTGAAGAGTTTAATTATTTTCTCATAATAATTATTTTCCATGGCTTTGGTGGAAAAAATACTTATTATGCAATACACCTTGCTTGCAAACCCAGATGAATCCTGCTATTTCTTTATAATAACACTCCACTGAAACCTTTAAACTAGATATTTGATGCAGTATTTTCTCTACTAATGGCCTTCAGAGGAGACAAGTTGTTGTGAGTCCAGAGGCCTCTAAAATAAAAGTATTAGAATTTCTTGTAGTTTAGCTCTTCTTTAGGATGAGAGGATTTTTTGCGTAACACATCAAATTAACATTTTGAAACTCATCCTTGACCTCTTTCTCAAGGAGAATTAACTTGATTCATGATGTGAACCTACCAGCTGTTCATCGTTATGAAATGAAGTCAACAGGTCAAGATACTGCTCTACTGCTTCCGATATTCTGTAGGACAAAGAACATCAAATAAAACACAAATAATAGGTTTATTCCATGCTGAAAATAAAAAGAAAGAGAACACAACATTTCAGCCGTGAAGGCTCCATGGCCGAAACGTTGTGTTCTCTTTCTTTTTCTTTTCAGCATGGAATAAACCTATTACTTGGTACCCACCTGATCAAATAAAACAGTTAATTAACAGCTGTACTAGACTCATATGCACCATTAAGACAACCAAACATGCATTTAAATAATTAATCAAATAGCCTTGAAAAACACGCCTTTCAATATCTCAATTACAGTGTCCCGAAAAAAACAACAACAATTATGCCAACAGCTAAAATTAAACTTCCCATGTACCTGTTTTTTTAATCATTAGTTTATTCATTTTTTGTGCACTTTCAGGTTTATCCAGATGTTGGAGACCAGGACAGGTGATTCTAACACTAATCAACAGTGCTCATGCAGGTATACAGATACCCTCTCCCACACACCCCAAAAATGAGTATTAGGTTCTGAGGTGGAACTCTACCCCACCTAGATGCAAAAAGCAGCAAAGGACATCAGGTGGCTAACATTTTACCATCAACATACAGTTCATGATATTCAGCATTCCTTTTCACTCAATATAGGCAGCTTTTTTAGATGATTGTTGCAGTGTGTGGATACATTGTTAGAATAAGTTATTGAGAGAATTAAATAAACTAGCTATGAACATTGACAAGTGACTTGACTGTATCCAGTGTGACAAACCCCTGGATGTTTGCGATGTACCTGCAATGTGGCACAGGAGATCCCCGAGATGTACTGTATACAGAGGAATTGTTCCCCATAACGGCAATGTACATACGGTGGCTTGGAACCACGAGAGCATAACCTTTGTCAATTTGACTTAAAGCACAAGGTTTTTCTCATTCTTAAGAATGTGCCACTGAACACAGTTAAGGACCAACAAACACTTGTAGCTAAGCAAGAATGTAATTAGCTTAAGATACATTCCCAGCACACAGTTCAGTTACAGGTATATACATTTAATGTACAGTACCTATAACCCATAAAATGCAATACATAGATAAATAGGGTCACTAGACTCAAAAACCAACGAAGCCATTCACTGCTTCAGAGTAGATTATTCCCCCCAACACTGTTCATGCATACCATTCAAGCCTTAATCCTTTCGTCATAGTGTGTGGTTGTAAAAATTCAACTTTATGTTGGGGCATAACAATTCGTAGTCTTAGTTTTAAAAAATATGTTTTAATGTTACATCGAAGTCTATAATATCCTCAAAATATTTTTTTCCATTTTCCAAAACAAAATAAGCCACAAAACATCTACATTGCTGGTTTTTGGTGCTTTGAAAAATAACACAAGCCCCTCTTTCATCAAAGACTAATAATCCCAACCATCTGTATTGTGGCTCCAGGGAAATACACCAAAAACACATTATCCTTTCAACACCAATAAGCTGTTTGGTCTTTATTTAAATGTTTTATTTAAAAATTGCTCTCTTAACACAAAACAAGGCTTTTCAACAAAGTAGTAATTTACTTCAAAATAACAGATACTGAAAATTAAAGATCAACTACAGAACACTAACTCAAACTTCTAACCACTCACTCGTACAACCTTAGATATACCGACCAATTAAGTCCCTTGTGAAAATGTGTTCTCTCCTGTTATACCCCATTTGTACAATTATTTAGTTATACCATTAGTGAGATTACGCCTAAATGAACTCATTACAATTTGAAGCACTATTTAGCAGCCTCTAGTGGCTGATTATCCTTTATTACAGTCTTTTCTTATGTAGGCCTGGCACACCAGTTACACACAAGGCATTACAATTTGAAATTTGCCTGTTAGAATTATGTTCTATAGAATGTAAAGTGCTGTTCACTTTGGAGGACAGCTTGTGTAATCTGAAGTTTAGTAGCTTCAAAACAGAATTTAGACTTCAGTCTGCCCAGTAAATATCACACATTATCTATTGTAACTAATGTTTTGCTAAGGTTCTTAACTGGATTTTCAGATACAAGGTCTTTTATCTGCAATAAGCTATGTGAGCACTTTCAGTCTGGGATAAGATCAATGCAGAGGGCAGAAACAGCTCTTACTAACTAATTGCTGATGTTTTCTTACTGGATTCAGTGTTGCCTTGAAATTAGGCACCAAGAAAGTAGATAAATCCATTTTGTAACCGGTTTATCCAATTCAGGATTGCAGGGGAGCAGGAGCCTAGGCAAGCAAAGGACACAAGGCAGGATACAACCTAGAGGGGACACCAGTCAACCACAGGACACACACAGAGACACAAACACGCATGCCTCAGACAGGATCCAGTTTTTCCAGAAGCCACTTAACCTTCCAGTATGTCTTTGGACTGTGGGAGGAAACCCACATGAACATGGGGAGAACGTACAAACTCCACACAGTACCTCAGGTCTGGAATTGAACCCAGGGCGCCAGCGCTGAGACAGCAATACTAACTACTGTGCCAGTGTCCTCTGCAGTAAATAAAATAAAGGTAATTTTTATTGTTGTTGCTGCAGGATACAATTTACCCATGATGAAATGTCAGTATTCCCCATTATTTAACAATTGTGGCACAAACAAATCTTAAACCTAGAAGAAAGTGACTTACTATTTGACCCCATCAAGTCTCACATCTGTCTTTGAAGTCTTACCTTCCGTAACGCAGATTGCTTTGTGCCAGGGAGTGCTTGACACCGAGCACAGCTGGCGTTTTGAACGTGGAGATCAGAGACGGGCTGCAGAGCAGAGACTCGTGGGTAATCAGATGGATCCAATTACAGCAGGACTCTTTCTGTGCAGAACACACCACAGCCTGTGGAGAACAGTGGGCCTCGTCTGTACTTACTTTGGTCTACAGATTCTCGCAGGGTTACTCCTCTTATTTCTCTTCTACAAGCTGTACTCAGTCTTTTTTTTCTGGTAATGCCTGTTATACTTATTGCCATACCCCCTGACTCCTTCTGATGAGTTTTCAGATCTTTGTTTGTAAGCCATCCTCATCTTCAGCTTCTTTCAAACAGACTGATAGTATTTGCTTTAATCCTGTGTCTATGATTTATTTGTTTTTTTCAATTTTCCTTGTCGAAATGTAGTAATTCAAGTTGAGCAGGCTCTTTTAGTGTGCTGTCCAGTCATACAACTATTTGCCAAGTGATTTTTATTAAAGAGATTCAACTGACAAATGATCATTACCTGAACCACTGACACCAACAAAGAAAAGATTCAGATGCCCCTTCTAGAATTAACTAACAAAATAAGGAGCATTAGTTGACGTGAGGCTAGAAAGTATACAAGTAGCTTTCAGCAATGATAAGTTACTTACGGAATGAAGCAAACGGAGGGCCTCTATCTCTGCCTGTGCCACTGCTAGTTGTCTGAACACAAGTGAGCTCTGATAGAGCGCGCTCAGACAGCCAAAATCTATTTCCAGGGCCTTTCTGTAGCACTGCAGGGCACTCTGGGGCCTACCCTGTATACCACAACCAAAAGCACACTTCCTTACAAGACAAGTTAATATTGTACATATAGGGGCTTTCCATATATTACAGACCCCTATTAATGTTCTTAATTATTTCTGACCATTGCCAGATAGTCTTTTTTCTTCACCATAACTATTTTAAGATTGTAGAAGGTACCACTGTATTCATCCGCCTAGACACCAGAGATGAAACTCAGGGAAACACCTCTAAAGGTGTCAGATAATGCACCTTGTTTACTGATAATGGATGAAATTCAGAGCTGTGTTTTTGGGTCAGATATCTGGGCTCACCCATGGAGCCACACAGAGGAATATTAGAAAAATAATAAAATCAAATTGCCTCAAGTTTCATATTTCAAGGTTGCAGTCACCACAAAGTGAAAGAGTTCGAAATGAGAAATGTCTAATATTAGGAGAGCCATTGTGTTGTGTCAAGAACGGCAATAATCAATCTGACATTGCTATGCCTTGTGTAACGCACAAACAAATCTGAACAATTATCTTTGTCATCTAAACACCTCTTGAAGTATATCTGCACAAGAGAAGGATAAAGGCAGTTAAGCAAGTTCTTACCAGCTGTCTTAAACAGAGACCCATTAAGGTATGAACCTGAGCCAGGACACTCCTCGGACAGGGCAGGGCTGCAGCCTCCTGGAAATTAAGAAGTGCCGCAGAAACTTCCCCTGCCTCCATCATCTCAGCGCCTACCAAAAACACATAGGAACTGAATGACAGAGCCTGTGCAGCAATGGCTTACTGCAAATGTCACTGGTTTTAAAAGCCTTCTGTGCATCTGTGAAACCTTACTCGATTTATGTCAACCAGGCACCTTTCAAGGGACTATTTCTTAAAAAAGACTAAAGCTTTAAAAAAAAGCAAATCTGACTCTTGGGAAACTCTGCCACTCAGTATGGCCACGTTCATACATCAAAGGCCCTTAACCTTTTTATTTGTCACAACTAGACACAATTAATACAGAGTCACCAAGAGCAGAAGTTTTACGCACTACTCATAGCTTGGGGGGAGATATTAAACTCATCTACTTATCTAAATAGCCCCAACCAGACACCCATGAAAGTCTGGTTGAGGCTGCTTAGTTTGAGGTTAACCCTCTGGCATTTTGCTAATTTGATGGTATCTATTGGTCTACTGCATGGTAAATTTCACTTAGAGTCTAAGGCAGTAGTTCTTAAACCTTTACTGTAGCCTACACTCCTTTAAAAAAATGTTTTTGTACTCTTTAACAAAAATTGTTGACGTACGTCACTTCTTTAAACCGAAGATACACCATAATTAAAGAGATAGAATTATTCAATTATTTTAATTTTACAGAAAAACTAAGATTACGTATAAAATTATACAGTTTTTCATGTTTACCTTAACATACATACTGTAGGTTTGACGAAACAAATTAATTGCACTTGTGCTGTGTGTAATTTGTGTTTTAAGTGATTTGCCTTTTAAAAGTACAACAGACATTAAAGCAAAAAAAAAAATCCATTCATTTTCTAACCACCTGATCTAACTCAGGGTCGTGGGGGAGCCAGGACAGGCTCTGGAAGGCAATTAATGTAGCGGGATATAACCTGGATGAACAGACGCAAACTGCACGCAAACACTCACACCAGGGTCAATTTTTCCAGAAGCCAATTAACCTACCAGTATGTTTTTGTGGACAGTGGGAGGAAACCCGAGTACCTGCAGGACATACGAACTCAGCGCAGATAGCATACCACGAATTGAACCCAGGGCCCCAGCGCTACATAACAGCCATGCTAATTACAGCACCACTGTGCTACCCTAAGACAATACAGGCTTGATGTAATTAATAGCAACATATTGGAGGAGATCATTCCAGGTCAAGAATGGCACATATTTTCTGGAACAGTAATAAATGTGACACACTCTTCCAACATGAGGTATTTTGAGATTATAATATTTTTCTGGATTTGTTTTTCTTGCAAATATTCTGACTTACAAAAAGTTAGTTAAAAGATAAAATGCTTTGCTATTGGGGACTTTAAAGATCACTTTCATCTGTTAAAAAGGCAAATTTAGC